TGAACTCCAAAGAGCTTCCATGTGAATCTCCACAAATGTTTAGGTGTGGAACTTTCTTTCCTCTCCTCTCTTGCCTTTCTTGACAGATTGTGCATTTGTTTGGGAATGAAAAATCAGAAAATCATTTTTGTCTTTTTGGGTTGCTTGTGGGTGGTTTTGGAAATGGGATTCACAAGTTAATCAATAGAAAAGCTGTGTTTTTGGTTGGTGTGTGTTAGTGATTTAAGTTGGGTGTGTAGGATGATCATGGGTGCTCTGTTTTTGGGTTGCTTGTGGGTGGTTTTGCTCTGTTTTGATGTTAGTTCAGTGGCAAAGGAAGAAGAAGATGAAGGTTAGTGTGGGTGAAAACCCTTAGGACAAAATGAGATATTGTGTTGTCAATCAGGCCGCGATAGTTGTCAATATGTGCCGCGACACTTGTCAATGTAGCTCCTTAAGTTATCAATGACAGTTGCGTTCTTCTTGATGCAGGTTTAAGTTACTGATGGCGAGTACGTCTGGAAAACATCTATTTTGCTTTGTTCACATAGGGGAAAGTTTATAAAGGATGGAGAAGATGATATGAGATATGTGGGAGGTAGTGTAAGAACAACCAATGTAAAGGAGGGCACAAGTTATGAAGAATTAAAGGAAATTATATCATCTATTGGTGGAGAAGAAAGCAACTCATTTCTTCTGAAATTCTCAGTTCTATATAGCTCAACAGCACTCAGCGTAGAAATTAACAACCTGAGTTATCCAAAATACCAATTACTATAACAGGAGTTAATGACAAGTGATATCAACAATTTCATAACAAATAAATGTGTGAATATTAACAATTGATATTCAAAATTTTTACAACTGAACATGTCATTTATTTATAATGTTAAGTAATATTTGCATTAAAATATAATTATTAAGAAGAAGGTGTTACTCAAATTTATATTCAATTAATAAGGGACAGTGCCTTCATTAACAAGTCACAGTGCTCCATTGCCAAGTCATAGTGCCACCATTGACAAGTCAGTATGCCACCATTGATAACTGATAATTCGCTGCGGCGTCTGACCATATCTGTCGCGGCTCCCCTATCTGTTCCAAGGAGCTGTTATTCTATGTAAGGCGTTGCGGCTCCTGATCATATCCGCCGCGGCACCCAACCCTTTTAAGAAGTTATTCGATGAACAACAAGTGACAGTGCTACCATTGACAAGTCAGTGTGCCACCATTAACAAGTCATAGTGTCACCATTGACAAGTTATAATGCCACCATTGACAAGTCATAGTGCCACCATTGACAAGTCATAGTGCTACCATTGACAAGTCATAGTGCTACCACTGACAAGTCAGTGTGCCACCATTGACAATTGATAATTCGCCGCGGCGTCTGACCATATCCGTCGCGGCTCCCCCATCTGTCCTAAGTAGCTGTCATTCTGTGTAAGGCGCCGCGGCTCCTGATTATATTAGCCGCGGCACCCAACCGTTTTAAGAAGTTATTCGGCGAACAACAAGTCATAGTGCTACCATTGACAAGTCAGTGTGCCACTATTGATAAGTCATAGTACTACCATTCACAGTGCGACCATTAATAAGTCATAGTGTCACCATTGACACTTCATTAATAATGATTATATATGACAATATAACCAAAATATAATATGATAAAGTGATTGAAAATATCATATGATACTAAAACAGGTTAAGTAACTTGAATTCATATTGTTGACAACTTATATCAGCAAACTAATTGACAAGTCACAGTGCTCTATTGACAAGTCATAACAGGTCTAATGACAATACAGGGTGCACGTAATGACAACTGAAATGGTAGCAGAATCTAATATACCAATTCATAGCCAACTTTCATTTATACCTTCATATACATAAAACTACACCTATTTCACAATCCATCCCAAAAAAACATAGGGGTTGCATATAATTACAAAACTAACTATTGGTGTGTATCCATTACAAAAAAATTCCCTTCACACAACTGAGAATTTCGGAAGAAATGAGTTGCTTTCTTCTCCACCAATGGATGATATAATTTCCTTCAATTCTTCATAACTTGTGCCCTCCTTTACATTGGTTGTTCTTACACTACCTCCCACATATCTCATATCATCTTCTCCATCCTTTATAAACTTCCCCCTATGTGAACAAAGCAAAATAGATGTTTTCCAGATGTACTCGCCATCAGTAACTTAAACCTACATCAAGAAGTACGCAACTATCATTGACAACTTAAGGAGCTATATTAACAAGTGTCACGGCACACATTGACAACTATCGCGGCCTGATTGACAACACAATATCCCATTTTGTCCTAAGGGTTTTCACCCACACTAACCTTCATCTTCTTCTTTCTTTGCCACTGAACTAAGCAAAACCATCCACAAGCAACCCAAAAACAGAGCACTCATGATCATCTTACACACCCAACTTAAATCACTAACACACACCAACCAAAAACACAGCTTTTCTATTGATTAACTTGTGAATCCCATTTCCAAAACTACCCACAAGCAACTCAAAAAGACAAAAATGATTTTCTGATTTTCCATTCCCAAACAAATGCACAATCTGTCAAGAAAGGCAGGAGAGGAGAGGAAAGAAAGTTCTACACCTAAACATTTGTGGAGATTCACATGGAAGCTCTTTAGAGTTCACTAATGGTAATGGAGAAGATATTTCATCATCAATGGCTCCTTCCCTCTTTCCCTATGTCTTCTCTCTCAAGCATATTGCGCAGGAACTCCTCACCCAAATGAACTTCTCCCGTTTTGTTTCTGATGGCAGGGGCAGGGCAAGACAGTAATTTGTGGATTCTGAAAATTGCACTGAAGTCCTTTTGGGACTTTAGAGAAATTATGAGATTTCAGGGGACATATTTGATGTATTTTCTTCTCCATGGGACTTTAATGTCATTTTCCCTAAATTCTCCCCCCTATTATTCCCTCTAAAACAATGTGGCTTGCTTAATTTCCCTTTACTACCAGTTAGGACAATTTCATCACCACATTAGCATCTAAATCACCGTCTTTGATCAAAATTCTCCCGGAAGGTCAACGTTGCTTAAGTAAATCGTTTGACATTATTGCACTCTCTTAAATCTTTTGTGGGCATTTTTCCACCCAAAGAAAGTGTATGGTGCTAAGTGCGGATTCACAAATACTATTTTTCCTTTATATAAAATTCTATTGATAATTTTAGAAAAATTAAGGAAGTTACAATTTATTAAATTACTTAATTATAGCATATGTTACATGATCTCTCTAAAATAATTATTTACATCATTAGATTATATATCAACTAATAAGTGAGACAAATTAGTTTGAAGAAAAATGATAAATATAAACAGCTTAAAATAATCTAGTAATTAGCTTAATTTTTTCAAATTAAACAACTTGGTCTTATATTAAGGACTAGAGGCACTATTTTGCAGGTAGATTTGCACGTTTGCCTCTAATAAATCTAAAAAATTAAATATGCAATTTTATTTTAAACAATAAAAATAAACGGTAGTTTTTATTTTGAAATATGGTGTATTTAATTTATAATTTGTATTATCAAGGATATAATAATCCGTACAATCTTTCTAGAGGGTCCTTTTAGCATTTTAACCGGACTAAGGAGACAATGTCACTACCTGGGACAACACATAATAATCAAGTAAAAGAGTTATGTTGAAGACAATTGCCTTATGAAATTTGACTAAATATTACCTTTAAGGACTTCAACCAAGATTAGTTTACAAAAGCATCCCAATCCACCTGCTTGAAAAAACCTTGTAATAGTAGAGGCACTGGGAGTCATCAGCAGCATTAAGATCCTGCATGTTTTCTTTTTTTGACATAAAACTGTGAAAGGTACATAGTGTCCTCTCGGCCTTAAAGAAAATATAAGGCTTTCGTGTCTCAGTGATCTCAAATCCTAATTACAAAACACACAATGAAAATTGATAGTGTGATGCCTCATACTTAAACAATTATACAAATATCAATTAGCAAGCATATATATCTTGGCGAAACATCTTTTTAGACAGTTTGATGTAGTGCTTCACCTACCTTCTTCTACACAATTATAGGCACAGTACTCCTTGCCATCACCCCCTCTAGCTGGAGAACTTAGGAGAATCAATAGCTTACCCTTTGTTCTTCTATTTCACATGCAGTTTTTTCCTCTTAGCCCTTGCTTTACCAACCTTTTTCATGGAATAGAAGCCCCTCCTAATAATATTTTCCACAAAATTATGATCCTTCTTGTAAGACTTAGTTTGTAGAGTTGGATTCTTGTTGCTTTGCTGATTTGGGTTATTCTTAATACAAGAGCCACTTTCATGTTTCATCCACTATTTATAAAGTAATAATAGAACTGAAAAGAAATACAATGTGTACCACTCCAAATATTTTGGCTCAGGATAAGCAGAAAGAGAAATTTATCTAAAATTATTTAAAACCTAAGTAAATAAAAAAAATTGGGAAATATGAATTTTGAGGACTTAGAAAGTTTATCAAAAATTTTATTCTCAAAAGGTGGCTAAAATAACTTTAAAGTTATTTTTCAGAGTAAAAATGGTCGACTTTTCTAGAAAATTCAAGAAAAAATGGTTAGGGATTTATATTTGAGCTGAAAATTTTAAAATAATTATTTTATGAGGTAAAGAAAATAATTGAGGCATAAAATTCCTAAAAAGGATTAATAATTAGTTTCTGAAATTAGTGATTATTTTCTTGAAAAATTCAAGAAAAATAGCTCGGACATAATTTTTGACTTGGAATTTTTAAGAAAATTATTTTAAAGGTCAAGGAAGCTAATGGATGAGGAAAATCTGTAATAAATATTGTAAAATAGTTTTTCAGTTTGTTTTACAATTATAGGAAAAAAAGAAAAAAGATGAGAGTGAAGACAAACATGTTGAAGGGTATAATGGTCATTTCTGCCCCTCTTGCTTGATTTAAGTCCTCAGCCCCTTCTTTCCCCTTCATTTGCGATGCTGAACAGAGTGAGAGAGATCAGAGAAGGCGAGAGAGACCGGAGAGGATGCCGGATCTCCGAGCTGCAAGAGTAGGTGGCGAAATTCCCATGCAATTGTAGTTTCTGACTAAGGTGAAGTCCGTGAACCCTTTTCCATCCTCATTTTCTGTGTTTGAGCTGTGATTGTAGAGAAAGAAAGTCTTAAGCTAGTGAGAGAAAATTAATACTCCTCCGGTCCTTAATATAATATAAGACCCATTTAACTAATTTGATTAGATTAAAGAAGTTAGGTAAATTAGTTAATTATAAGAAAAGTGACACATTTTTCCTAAAACACCATAATCATCTTTCTTAATACCCCTCTCCCTTTTCTACTTGATTATAGTTGAGGGAGTATCCATAGGGTAATTTAGAGAAAATTAAAAAATATGAGAAATAGGTCTTATATTTAGGACCAAAATCAACTCAAGAATTGGGTCCTATATTAAGAACCGGAGGAGTATCTTGATGGATTAAGGGTAGAAGACGGTTGAGGGATGTTTAATCGTGTAAATGATGCAATTGCATGTGGATTTCTGTAGCTGGAAATTTGTTTTTCTGCTCTGTTTTTCTAGGCCAAAAGAGGGGATTCCATTCTTGTGTGATTGTGGTTTCGGTTCTGGTAGAATGGAAAAGAGTAGAGTATTGTATAATTATATATATCCTGTATAAATCTGGAAATTTCAGTCAAGGGTGCTGCCGTTCGAAACTTTTAACTGAAAGGAAGAAGTATGATGTTTGGATTTGAACTCTTTGGTTGAGTTTCGAAACAGGGACTACATATGTGCGTGTGTGTGTATTCATATTTGTGTGTGATTTTGGTTCTTGTAGCTAGAAGGAGCAAGGCCACATACACACGCACATCTTGCTGCTACTGTCCTAATTGGAAGGTTAAGAATTGATTTAAGACTGAAGTACTAAGTGTTATAAAGTGATTAAGTATTGTCAAAGATTAGTCTTGGGTATGTGTTTGAAATCTTGAAAAATTTTCATATTTGAAGTAAAAGCATTTTACAATTGATTTCAACATTAGTATAGATGTAAAAAGATTTAGAGTTATTGGGGAAGGGTTCTTGTGCAAATGAGGGAGTGGTTTAATGCAAAAGTTGCAAAGTTAGAAGGATTAAGATAATTTGTGAGCTCATTAAATATGTGCACATGTGTGCTGTCAAGTTAAATAAAGTTAAGCTGAGAATTTGCTTAAGGAAAATTAAGCCTTAAGATTGCATATATAAGTACATATATTTTGGGTGTCTCTCGGCCAAGAATTGAGAAAAGATTGAACAGGCTTAACCTTAAATGTAAGAAGTAAGGATTGAATGTATATGTGTATATGGGTTAAGGAAAAAAACCCTCCAAAGAGAATAATGTGAGTGAGAAATATTATTCAAGATAACTAACTATTAAATAAAAAGAACAAAGTTTATTAATGGGTCAAGATAAGTTATATATTGATAATAAAAGTTTAATGGATTAAGCATTGACCTATTTATATATGAAACTATATTATAGGATTTGATATTTATCCAAGCCCGCCAAGAAAGCTGGAAGAAATCTGGAGAAGGTAAGCTGGAAAAGAGACTTCAAGTAGTGACTCTTTCCCTCTCATATACTTATGCAATAATTTGGCATGTCTATTTGTGCCACAGTACCTATATTCTTTAATGAATATATGATGGATATGTTTGTGAAGAATGATTGGTAGTTCGTAGAGCTGTACTCAAGTATAAGTATGTAGAATTTGCTTTGCGTTGAACTTGTAGAGCTTTACTCAGGTATAAGTATGTGATATTGATTTGATTGTCATGGCCATGTACGTTGCAAAGCTTGAGATGCACGAGCATTGTTGATTATATTTGTTTGTAAAGCTTATGATATTTGAGCATCTCTTTTTGTAAGGGTGTTCATAGAGCCCAATTGCCCAGTATGCCTACCTAAGCCCACAAAAAAATGCCTAGCTGGCCCACTCTAAAAAGAATGGCCTGAAAGAAATTTTGGGCATGTTTGGGCCTGAAAGAAATTTTGGGCATGTTTGGGCCGGACAAATTTTTGGGTAGGGTTAGGTATCAGGCACAGTATGCTGCCATGCCCGCAAAAATATATATAATTTTATTTATATATATTATTCGTCTCATATTTACCTCCTAAATCAAACGTACTGTTGCACCACTGTTCAGTGTTTACTGCACTTATTTATTTTCAAATGATTTTGAGAATTAGATGTCTTATCATTTACTGGGATCTCTATAGCCATTCTCTTTTTTAATGCAAACATTATGACCATTGGCAATTTGAATATTGGTAGATAAGTAATTATATATCATTTATTTTGAGCATGACTCTGATATAATGTCTATGAAAGGATAATTGAGTTGTTTTGAAATTTGTTTTGCTTCTTGTTTTTTCTAAAATTGATGTCTTTGTTTGGTTAAAATTAAAAGCATATCAGGATACTTTAAAAATTTACTAAACCAAAACAAATAGATTTTTTAAATATAACTGATTCCATCCTCTTATCAGTATTTGGGAGTTATGGAAAAAATGATATTAATATTTTGTTAAGAAATTTTAGAAACTAGAAAAAGCAATTAAGTTTAATAAAATATACTAATAACATTTTTCTTGTCATAGTTCACTCCTTTTAGCCACCACAAAATGTTGTTTAATAGTAAATTAATTAGAAATAACTAAAGTATGGCCAAGTTGCCATTTTAATAGAAAGTTACCTTAGATTACTTAAAGAGACATAAATAACCAGTTAATAGTTGAATAATATAATATATTGATTTATTGGGCATGAAAGCCCGCCCTTGCCCATTTAGAAATTTGAAAAGCTATCAAGTTTAATAAAATATACTAATAACATTTTTCTTGTCATAGTCTACTCCTTTTAGCTATTACAAAATGTTGTTTAATGGTAAATTAATTAGAAATAACTAAAGTAAGGCAAGGTTGCCAATTTAATAGAAAGTTACCTTAGATTACTTAGAGGGATATAAATAATCAGTTAATAGTTAAATAATATAATATATGATTCGTTCAACATGAAAGCCCGCCCTTGCCTATTTAGAAATTGAAAAAGCAATCAAGTTTAATAAAATATACTAATAACATTTTTCTTGTCATATGGCGAAATTGGTAGAGGCTACGGACTTAATTGGATTGAGCCTTGGTATGGAAACCTACCAAGTGATAACTTTCAAATTCAGAGAAACCCTGGAATTAACAATGGGCAATCCTGAGCCAAATCCTGTTTTCGGAAAACCAAGAAGAGTTCAGAAAGGGAGAATAAAAAAAGGATAGGTGCAGATACTCATAGTCCACTCCTTTTAGCTACTGCAAAATCTTGTTTAATAGTCAATTAATTAGAAATAACTAAATTAAGGCTAGGTTGTCATTTTAATATAAAGTTACCTTAGATTACTTAAAGGGATATAAATAATTAGTTAATAGTTAAATAATATAATATATTGACTTGTTGGGTATGAAAGCCCGTCCTGCCCAGCTCGCATTTACCCAACCCAAACTTACTAAGGCTTTTCATGGGCAGGGCTGAGCAATGAGCTACATTTTGTAGCCCATTCATTTTTTGAGCTAGGCATCAAGCAAAGGTCCGGCTAGCCCTGCATGGGTAGCCCTGGCTATTTGTGCTTGGTTGCAAGTGATATTAATATGGTTTGTTTTGTATGCGCTTATGAGCTCTGTATAGTTGTATGATGGATTGCTGTCACTATTGACATTCCCAGAATCTCACTACTTTCATCTATGATATACAGTGAATACTAGTAGCTCAAAGGGTAAGAGCATGGTTTCTGCTGAGAATTAAGAAGGTTGGGGAAGCTGGAAAAGTAAATTTGTCAGTCATCAAGTTTACCTTGGATGTTCCAATTATATTTTGATGGACATGTTAGACTATGTTTTTTTTATATAATTATAAGTAATTATGTAAAGTACTTGTAGACTATATATACCTCTATAAAGAGGAAAGTGTGACTATGTAGCCAGCAAGTAAGTGCCAATGGCTATAGGGTGGTAGATAAATGTTTAGCCATTACTATGACATCAAATATTAACGGTTTAGTAGAAGAAACTTATCGATATTTGAGCTAGGGAATTAACTAGATGTTTGAACTAATGAACAAGGCGCTTTGTAAGTTATTTCAAGAAGTTTAAATTATTTTTTTAAAAAATCTTATCCCTAATACAGGATCAACTCTTGTGTTAAGGAGAAGTTTTAATGAAGAGTTTAAGAAAATATTTTTTTATCCTTGGATTAAGCCTAGCTTAATGGTTTGAGGACTAATTAATTAACCCTTATAGTATAGTTATGGTGGGTTTTACACAATGAACATTCCATATAATGACTAGAAAGAATGAAGTAAAACAAAGTAGAATAGAGCAACGGCTTAAAAAAAGCATGATAACAGGAAAAGAAAACATGAATGCCAAATGTAGCATAAAAAATGTAAAATGAGCATAGATAAAGCATAAAGCACAATGCACAATGGCAAACAAGAAAAACGTCTAAAAAAAACGATAATTGAGCATAAAAACGTAAACTTCATGTTAGGGCAATCAACCAAAAAGAAAAAGAAAAAGCAACGACAAACAAACAAAATCCTCGATGTCATTGGTAAGTAATAGGTGGTGGGTTTTGATTACTAATATGAGGATAGTGTATAGCGTTGGGTGGTGGGTTTCGACTATTAACACCTGTTGATGGCCAAAAAAGGGTGTCAAAATGGTAGGGTTGTGAAGGCTCCAAGTAAAGATAGAATCGATAGTGTTCAGAATGCCAAGAGGTGCCAGTTTGCAGGCATTTTATGAAACTTACATGTTTATAATAGGCACATATTGTAAAAAAAAAAAAAAAAAAGTTGACAGTTGCCACAAAAAAAAAAGTCACATTTTAAGAAAATTGAACTTTTTATTTTAAGCTATTAAAAATTACAATACGTGATGGTCTTATGCATACAATCATCACGTATTATAATATTTTCTTTCACATAGGGCTGCTTAACAAAAGTACAAAAATGCAAAATAAACAAAACATGAGAAGGGGTGACAATAGAAAATGCAAAGAAAACTCATCCTAAGTGTCCTCATTGTCATCCTCATTCTTATCTTCACCATAAGATGAAAAAAGATCTTGGGAATCATTTTGATAAATTTCAAATTTCTTAGTCACCTTGTTCATCTTCTCGTTTAGAGACTAAGCTAACTCGATGAGTTTGTTCTGTTTGGTTGTTATGTGTGGTGTTTCCTCATATAGGAATTGGTGAACAACCTTGTTCGATTCTCTAATATGATTCACCAGTCCCTTTAACTAATGGAGGATAGCATTAGCAGTAGGTCTGAAAATCTCATCTCTTCTCAGGCGTTTCAATGGCATGACTGCTTTAATGTTAAAGGGTACAAATGAAAAGAATGAAATATATTATAGAAATGGTGCTTAGGGTTTGGGCTTATATAGAGTTTCGAATCAACATAAAATGTAACATCTTAAATTTTGAATGAGGACTTAAAGTGTATAGCTTTGAATTGAATGATCATGAGTAATTTTGGATGGTTAATTTGTTTGAATGTGGCATGGAAAGACAAGGGCAATGGTTAGAAAGGTTATGATGGAAATTAGAGAAGGAAAATATAACGTCCTAATTTTAATTTCTAAGATCTGAGTAATATTAAAGAAAAAAGAATAATATATATACCTATATATTGAATTTAAGGAAGCTTAAAGAAATATATAAGTAAATATTTATTAATATTGCGTCAATCGGGGTTGAATTATTAGCAATTAAAGTATTTATGATTATATGTATATATGTGCATAGCTATATAAATGAATAAAACAACAAGATAGAGAAGTCTCATATAAACTAAATAATAGGAAGAGGGAACTGTAAAAGCCTATATATAAGAGGTGGCGGGATAGAAATAAGAATAAGGTAAGCAATTTTCACAACACTTGAGACAGTCTTGGTAAAGTGCCATTTGCAAATATGTTAATTGTTAGATCATGCTAAAATTTAACAAATAAGTCTAGGACATCTAACTCAACGTTTTCAATGGTTAAGTCATTGATTTAATGCCTAAGATATGAGTTATTAGGTGCGTAGTGAACTCATTTTTTCAGATCTTACAGATAGAATTTTGAGTAGTAAATTATTGTTTTCATATTTGTTCACTATTGGATGGAGTTACAATTTGGCTAGTAGACTCATGACCTCTAAGGCATTAATTTCAATGGTCAGAAACATCTATTCAAAAGGCAAATGAGAGAAAGTTAGAGAGAGAAGGTCTAAGTTTTTTCATGCTTTCACGAGTGAACACCCCTCGGAAACAACCTCCTGATCGTCCTAGGGATGACCAAGAGGATGTAAACTAAGGAAATGAAAGAGATCTAAGAACATTAAAGGAAAATTCAAAGAGGGTTTCAATAGAACCGATGTCTACGATGAGAACGAACGGATAAGAGAGAAAGAAGAAGAAATAAGAGGGAAAATGCCAAGAAAGCTAGGAGAGTTTACAGGAGAAGTTTTGTTGCTGCAAAGAGAGAAAAACTGGATGCTACCAGAAACAACTAAGGTCCCTCAAAAGCAAAACAAGACACTGTCATATAGGGATGTCTTGAAGCCTAAGTCAAATAAGGAGAGGACACAAGCTGAAGAGGATTGGGATGGTAGCCTGATAATGAATCCAGATAGTGAACTGCAAGAAGGGATCATCATGATTAACACTTAACGTGGGTCGAAGATAGAATTCTCAACAAATGAAAAAAGGAGAATGGAGAAGAAATGGTAAAACACACTCATTATAAAGCTGCTTGAAGATACATTAGGATTCATGCAACTCAGGCACATAGTGCAAGCGATGTGGGGGAAATCCGACAGAGCAGAACTGTCAGACATTGCAAATGGATAAATGCATGCTACCTTAAAAGAACTAGATGACTACTACTTTGCCCTTGAGGGAGGCCCCTGGTTGGTAAGAAATCAATATCTAACGGTGTAAACCTAGAAGAGAAATTTCAATCCCTGGAACGAAAATATTAATAATATGACAGTTTGGGTGCACCTCCCAAGTCTACCAAAGGACTATTATAATAAAAAGTTTTTTTATCACCTAAGAAACAAGATTGGAAGAGCTATTAAGGCAGATGAGATGACTCTGACCAAAGCCGGACTATGTTGCAAGGTTGTATGTTGAAGTTAATCTGAACACCCTATTACTACTAGCTTATTCGGTAGATGAAAACGAGTTAAAGATTGCGTATGAGGGATTACACTCTATTTGTTTCTGCTGTGGCAAATTTGGGCATAGCTTAGAACACTATCCAATAAGGGTGAAGCAAAAAGGAGGATCGAAGCAAGCAAAGATGGTGGCAAAAAGGGCTGAAGAAAGGATCGCTAAAAAAAAGATACCTGGAGCAATATTCAGAGGATGGATGGTGGCACAATATTAGAAACAAGGATGGAAACCCATCAATTGAGATAGTAAGTAGGGAGAGGGTCAGAAAAAGAGCCATCTCACTAAGGCAAACATAGGACAGGCCTCAAGATTTGACGTGCTGATGGTGGAGGGTGATAGCATAGAAGGGGTGATAGAGGAGGGGAAGAGAGAAGACCATTGGAAGATGTGTATAATGTGGAAAAAAGGAGAGATGAAAGAGGAAATGAGAAGGGAAAAAAGGTAAAAGATAAAAAGGTAATAAGAGTTTGAAAAGTAGAGCTGAGACGATTAAGAAAAATATGCAGACAGAAAAAAGAAAGGATAAGAAAAAGCAGGGAGAGGCAAAGAAAACCTAGAGTCAATAGGTAGGGTTAATTGGAAGAAGCACAAACATAGAGCAAAAGGAGAGCACAAGAAAGGAAAATACAATAGGGGCAAAAAATGAGTTCACAAGTGGGCCGAGTAGTTAAAAAAAAGAACCAACAGGAAAATTAGAAGATTTAGGCAGAATACTAGGGATATTATGGGCCAGTCACTAAAAGTGGACTAAGAATAGAGGACACTATTATGGAACACTTCCTAGACAGCTTACCTAATCATGTAAATACAATAATAGAATTAGAGGAGGTTGAGCCCCCAGACCTAAATGAGAAAGCAGAAGTTTTGGGCCTCTCAAATATTGAGCATCTCATCAAAACCCAAGATGTGGCTCAAACAAAGTAGCAGAAAGAAGAGTTACCCATGAGGTGGATGTGGATATGGCTGGAACATCTCAACAGTGCTGAGGTGTGTAGCGGCAAATTATTCAAACTTTGTTTAAATGATTATTTCCTGGAATGTGCATGGGGCTACAGGAAGAGATTTTATGCTTGCCTTTAAAGAATTAAGGAAAAAGTTTGAAGCAAAAATTGTGGTATTATTAGAGACTAGATGTAGCGGAGATAAGACACAAAAAGTAATAAAAAGATGGGCTATAAAAATCAAATAATAATGGAAGCAAGCAATATGTCTGAGGGAATATGAATCCTATGGGATGAAGACAACATTAAAATTCATACCTTAGAAACGTAGAAACAGTACATACATTGTGAAATAAAGAGGATTGGAACTAGCAAGTAGCTGTTTATAGCAATCTACGCAAGCCCTAGGGAAATGGAAAGAAAGGCCCTCTAGGAGAACCTGAAAGAGATAACAAGAAGAACTACTAGTCCCTGAATGCCAGCGGGTGATTAAATGATAGAAGAGATAGTGAAAAGCAAATAGGTGGAGGATAAGTGAACTATCCTAAGTAGAGAAGATTCAATGAATACATTGAAGAATGCTGTCTACTAGATGTTAACATGGAAGGGCCCAAGTACACTTGAAAAGCCCCAATCACATACGAGGAGACTGTATAAGAAATTGGACCAAGTGCTATGCAATGCGGCTTGGAGAAACACCTTCTGTGAAGCACGACTACAAATTGAACCTAGACTTCAATCGGACCATTATGCACTTGTGATACATATAACCCCACAGCAAAGTAACAGAAATGCTAGGCCCTTCTGCTTTGAGGCCATCTGGCAACAGCATGTTGATTTTAAATTGATGTTGTAAGAAAAGTAGAAAGGAAGAGACAATATCAGACAGGAACTGAGGAATCTGGAAGGAAAATTGCAATATTGGAATGAGAATGTTTTTGGA